GGCCTGCCCCTCCCACCTCCGCACCCATCTCCTCCCATGTGACCGCTCCCCTTGCCTCGTCCCCGACTGTGCCGCCCCCGGCTCCCTCGACTGCTCCGCCCACGCCGGTCCCCGCCAGCCCTCCACCGAGCATTCCACCCACATTGCCTTCCCCGGCCCCGGCCCCGGTCCGTGCTGCCGCCCCTGCGCCGGCCGCAGCCCCTCCGAAGCTCGCCGAGGTTCCAGCTCCAGCGCCGTCTAAACCGAAGAAGGGCGCCCCTGCCTCTTCGCCGGCCGCCGTCATCCCGCCGTCAAGTACCGCAGCATCCCCGGCCAACGAGGCCGCCTCGCCCGGCCCCAGTGGAGCCGAAGAGACGGTACGTTCTCTAGTCCCTCTACACCCCACGTCAACGATCCGCCAGATCCAACCGTCGGTTCCGATCTTAACGGTCACCGCGACCTCCACCGACGGTACAGGATAGCAGCATTTGTCCAAAAATGGCGCCGGAAAAACCTAAGCCGTCGGTTTGGACACGGCCGTGCCCGGTCGTTCCCCGGCGTTTCGGCCGCACGTGGCTTGTGCTCCGGCGTCTACCCGCGGACGGTAAAGAGGATGCAAAGTGCGGAAACCGGAACTCAGAGCCCCCACTGAAATCGGGTTCTCCGTGAACTTTGAAGTCCGGTGACTCGGTGTTACTTCCCCGCCAACCGTAGTTATCCTCGCCGTCCCCACGGTGTCCCACCCGCATCATAAGTGGTGGAAGGAGGTGTCCACGTGTACACTCCATTTAAAAAAAAGATGAGATCCGACCGTCAGTTCCAGCGCCAAGCTGCTTCGCGATTCGTGCGGCGGAGCAAGTAATTAAATCGAAAATAAGTCTTTGACTACCGCATAGCTCTGAGACATGACACTCTCACTAGCTAGTCATTTGCGTCGTGTGTCTCTTGCACCCATTTAGTGTTCTTATCGGCTGTTACCACTTGTCATCTGTGATGCAGAGCGGAGCAGGGAGAGCGAGGAAGATGATGAACGGTTTGGGGGTGGCGCTGCTATCCATCGGCATGTTGGTCGTCTAGACCGCATAGCATATGTTGTTGTTGGGTATGATGATATATTATTGCATGTTCAATAATCTGCTACCGTTGATGTCTCATCCAACTATCCGTCTCTCCTTTATTTTGCCTGCCTTCCTTCCTTCCTTTTAATCTTTATTATAAAAGCAATGTTTGGTGGCTTGGCGTAGGAAGGCAGGTTTGATTCTTTGCTGTGGGTGTGAGTGGAGGGGACTGTGTTGTTGTCGGAGGCTGTTTTGCTTCAGGTTGTGAGTTATGGGTCTACTTGTATCTGATTCCGTCTTGTTGACTCTTTCTGTGCAGTGTTGGAATAATCACAGTTGACTACTGTCAGTGAGAATTCTAATAATTTATTAGAAATAATATTATATATATCATTCATTAACTGGAACAGACTAACGTCGTCAAACACAATAATACTTTGGAAAGATTGGTACGTGATATTAATACCTATAATGACGACGAGTACGTCAGCATTGCATGAATATAAAACGAAATACAAACTACGGGAGAAGATGAATACGGAGTGAGGTGGTGGTGGTGGTGGTGGTGGAAAAGTGCATCCACAGAAGTTGGAAGGAAGCCAAAGCACGCACGCAAGATATGCTTTGCTTCATCCAATGACACTCGGCCCGTGCTCGCTTGACACGACAGGGCGAAAGGTTAAAGTGATACAGGACAAGCAATGACTATTTCTTACACAGACACGGTCTGGTGGACTCACCGGAGGATTCTTCCGCCCCTCATGCTTCGACTGCAAGAAGAAAGCAACGAAAAGAAAAATCGATGCTGTGGAGACGAGACGAGACGAACGTGAAGCGGTGTCGGACTACGTGGTGGCCAGCTTTGATGACCCGAAAGCAACAAGGAATAGGAGGAGGAGGACGAACAAGACGAGGTGTTGGCACAGTAGAAGAAAGAGGAACATCTTCTCCGTCCCAAGCAAGCCAAGTGGAGTGGGTCAGCAGGAATCACTTCGTCTAGTGGTCAGAGAGGTAGGTTCTAGCAATTCATGATATGTCTTGATACCATCTTAAAGACATGATTTTAATGATCATAACTCCATAAGCTTAAACGATTAGAAAATAATTGACTATATGTTTTAACATATTTTATAAGATCATTAAGTATGATTAGATATCATAACGTAGTTCCAACCTAAAAGTAATAGATTTATATGCATGCCGTCGATAAGTGCTAAAGCACCATTCCAACACATAACAAGACTTACACTACACTACACTACACTATTATTATTATTTAAGACAACAGACAAGCGTACACTTTGGATGATAAAAAAAGTTTGACTTCTGTTCTATGGTCAGCCTACGACACTTGCTCGACAATATGGGCAAAGCTGATGAGCCTGCATCCATGGTTCTAAGCAAGCATGATGATACATATGCCCGCACGGCAGTCGGATCACTCCTTCCCCCTCCGAGAACTTCTCCAGACATATAGAACACTCGAGTAACCCTTTAGGAATTCCATCGCCGTCTGTGTCGATGAACAGCTCATCCTTCAGACGATGACCGAGTACACATGGCTTTTTGTTTATATCACCGGAAGATGATACCTGCTCTGCTTGAAATATAATTTCAGCAGCTGGATCACCGGATTTCAGCTGATCGGAGGCGGTTGCAGTTTTCCAGTGATTGCATTTACTCACGTTCGATACTTCAGCAGGAGGGCGATCAGAGATGTCTGCGGCTCGGCTCTCTTGCCTGGTGAGAGAACAAAAATTAGCCATCAGCTAGTTGTGAGTCTATAGAATCTGAGTCTACACTGAAGATTTTTATCTTTATCGATAGTGAATTCACAAAACATACAGATAAAACGAGTTTATGACCTGCTCCCCGTTAGATGAACACCTTTCAGTCTCTCTTGAAGTCGAGTTCTAGCTTCCAGGACAGAATCAGGAAGATGATCATGGAACTCATCTCCAAGCACTCTCGACGACCGAACAACTCTACCGGATGCATACCGATGATTCCTGCTAATGCCTTCTTCAAGTTCGCTAGTGCTTTTGTTCAGTCCAATCGATTCATGTGGCTGCCAGTGCCAAGGTTGCATGCGGTTATCTATCGATATGATTTAAAGAGTCGTAAACTTTTGCCAAGAGAAAAGTGACCTGTACTTGCGCAGATGATGATTCTACATCAAGCAAAATGGTGAAAACAGCCGGAGAACAGGGGTGCGAACACAAATGCTTCCATATCACTAAAAAAATGCCGTTTGAAAACAGCATGAAAAATCTGTGGGAAGGATGAATTTGTGCAACACAAGCTATAATGTCCCAACTTTTAGGGTTAGCTACATGGATGATTTTCCGTCAATTAAGCTGTGTATGCAATATCCTAAATTCAAATCTTTATTTATAATCTTTTATTGAGGTATTCTTAGTTTTCTCTCTATATTTGTTTGTGTTGCTAATACTAGTTGTGTTCCCATGTCTAATTATAATATCTATGTGTTTTCTTAGAACATGTTCATGTTATAGTAGACAAGTTTTCCTCATTTTAGCGACCTTAAAAGTGTGACACGACATAGGTTAGAAGACCCAAAAATTTGCTAATCAGCATGATAGTGGCACAAACATCCAAAAGATTCTTCCATCTCCATGATTTTATAGCTTTCTAGTCCAGTGTTACTATAGGCTCTATCAGGAAAGTAAAGATATTGCTGATGAAGATTAAATGATTTAGCAGAAGATAACTAACTTCAGTAATTGTGCAACAAAGATGAGCTCTTAAGTGTTACCGTAAACAGTTTGCAGTATCAGAAGTTTAAAAGTACAGGTACTAAGAATCTTGTTTTAGAAGGTATTATGAAACAAACAATAGTAGATATTAATGTATAAATTCAGAACAATGACAGGAAATCGCGGTTAGCCAATAGCCACTAGCCATGATTCGCACATATGGCAAAAATCGATCTTATTGGTAAGCATCAGAACCCAAAATTTTCATTATAGGGGCAACATCATCCAACCATAGAACTACTGTTCGATGATAACTAATAGAGAAAGAAGATTGACCAAGTTTAGACATCAAGGTGATATGCCTGTCACCTGATGCCTCTTCTCCTTTCATACAAATTAGGAGTTCTCAAATCACTAGCATGTTCATGATCACAATCATTCGATCAATTACATATTAAATTGGTGAATTTTTTGGGAATCAATAAATATTATAGGACAGGAAAACAAGGTAAGTGAAGCAGTAAAAGAGAAAGAGTAAAACTCTCTCAAATACACTAAAGTGTCTTGTGATCTGATCCTTCGCATTTAGACACATGGAAAGAGTAGCTTGCTATCTTCTGACCGAAAAGATCGATCTTTTTGTCAGCAGAAGCAAAATTAGTACTTCTGTTCAAGATTTATGCTTAAAAATTGGGGAAATCGAGCTGCTCTAGTTTATATTGCAACGAGAAACCCCAAACACCAAGTTATAACAGCTACAAATTGTTCTATTCCGACTGAGAAAATCTACCGTTCGGTCGGAGCGGGGGTGGAGGAGCTGCCGAGCGCGGGAAGGGCCATCAGGCCGGCGCTCCTCGTGGCTGCTGCGGCGGTCACGACGAAGGCGGCGGTCTCGATCCGCGTTGACGCGATCCAGCTCTTGCTCCGAGCTCCTGCTGGAGGCAGACGTCCTCCGGCAGTAGAAGAACTTGGAAGCTATCGTCATGCAAAGAACGCACTTTCCTTCTCCCTGTCACTCTCCCCCTCCTTCCTCCTTCCAGTCTTCAATAGGAGGGGGCAGAAAGAGTTGTTGGGAAAACGACGAGGGCGCGAGCAAGGAGAAAAAGGGTACTTGCGGGTGAAGAAAAGCGACGGAGGGAGTTAAGACGGGGGAGGCTGTGGAGATATCGATGAACCCACTCCCCATTCCCTCGAGAACGGAAAAGATTCGACTTGGGGCACTGCTGACGAAGAATTGCAGCCGGTGAGCGCATGACTGCAACACGTAGAAGACCAGATTTTTCTGTATCCTATATATATATATATATATATATATATATATATATATATATATATATATATGTGTGTGTGTGTGTGTGTGAGAAAAGTGCTTTTGGCAAATGGATATTAATTGGGAAAGTGCTTTTGGCTTTATCATCTGTACATTAAATTTCTTCGTCATTATTTACCATTTATAAAAAAAAAAGGTAAAATTAAATAAAAATAAAAGGAAGACTTTGGCACCGTGACATCGCTCTATTTTGATGTCGTGACACCCAATAAAGAACGATATGTGAGAGGCCCTTTGTTTCTTTCTTTTCGTTCCTCCTCCTCCCTCTCTCTCTCTCTCTCTCTCTCTCTCGTTGTCGACGCGCCTTTTCCTTCCTTTTCCTTCCGAAGAGACCGGGAGAAAGATCCCACCTCGGCCGCCGCGATGAAGGGAAACAGAGGGCCCAGGTCGCCCTTATTATCTCGGTTGGCACGCGAGAAGATAAGGCTGCCCGCTGCCCTTCTCTTGTGCGTCGTCTTCTTCCTCGCCGGCCTCTTCGTCTCCATTCTCATCTCCTCCCCCTCTCAGGTCGGTCTCTTCTCCTCTTTCATCCATCTTCTCCGCCTCTTCCTCCTCCTGAGTTTTTGGCCCGCAGGATCCTTCCGGCGGGGGTCGCCTTACCCGATCTCGGCTGCTGGAGCTCGACGATGAGGATCCCGAGCGGTCGCCGATGCCCCACGGGAAGACCGGGGAATCTACCCCGTCTTTGATCCCTTTCCAGGTTTTCGGCAACCTCTTCGACCATTGTCTTTATGTTTCTAACCCTAGATTTTTATACCTTAAAGGATACGTAGATCTTGAATTTTAATTTAGGACTTCGTTAGAATATGTTTTCTTTGAGATAAAATTGTTAATGGTTTATTCGTGAAAGAGGAAAATAAACCTACTCTATATGACTATAATCAATTTAAGGTGAGCACGTGGGGTGGTAGTCATCTCCGATGGCTCATTCTCCAATGACAATTATCTTGTGTCTTGGATGAAGAGTGGGCACCGATTCCATTAGGCATTATATGCGAAGACTATTGCCGGGAAAGTATTAGATTTGCATCTAAATTTTATGGTAGCAAAGCTAGCGCCTAATTCAAACCTCCAAAACATGTCAAATATATTGATGATTTTGATTCGACAAAGGGTGGCGAAGATGTTGGTGATTTTCCACATGGACAAATCATTAAGCAATTAAGATGAACAGGCACGAGCCATCTTTGCAGCATGCTAGGTGCAACAGATGCTCGCGGTAGGTTTGGGGAAAGGACGTAGATGACAGTGTTAGGAGTTTCTAACACAAAAAATTGCATTTATAGGACATGACGGTGAGCTGTTGCAGTTATCGGCACCATTTGTCATCTTCTACCACAGTTTTCTGAAGTAACAAAAGAAGATTTAAACTATTCTGCTTCTCTTTAGTTCTCTGTCTCCCAAAGTCACTAGATGTTGTGGGTTCAATAGGTTTTTAATATTCTGCAATGTTTGCCATGAGAAAATTAAAAATTTTGTGAAAAGCAAAACACTCTCCAAATTCTGTGGTCTGCACCAAAGTGGTTAAGCTTGTGCTGTCACTTAAATAGGACTCATTTGCTTTCAGAACAATGTGTCTGATCGGTAGGGAGCAAGCGAAACAGAAAGATAACACCTGAGATGATATTTATGCTGAAAATTTTGCTCCAGAAAATTACACAAGTTTGTAATTTCAATGTATGTATTTTAGTGAGTTGTATTCTATCCAGAACTGAACGATATGAGTAATGCTATATAAACTAACATTTTGTTATATAAGTTTTACAATGAACATATGACATCATCATGTGGATTAGCAATAATTGTCCATATAGTGTGAGTTATACCTTTTTAGGGATTTAAAATACTAGTTTTATAGTGCTTGTGTGCAGGTTTTGAGCTGGAAACCTCGTGCATTGTATTTTCCAAATTTTGCCACAGCAGAACAATGCCAAACAATTGTACAAAAAGCTAAGTCTAGGCTTAGGCCTTCAACATTAGCTTTACGGAAGGGGGAAACTGCAGAGAATACTCAAGGAATAAGAACAAGGTGCCTCTTACCAATTTCCTTTCAAGGATTCAAGAATATATACATTCGCTTGTTGCCTTGTAACAAGAAGATTATTGATGTTTAGACTCAGTATTTAGAATACTCATTAAGATGACAAAGGTTGTGAAATCAGTAAAGGTGACGATTATTTTGACATTAAGTTTCTTGTGTCATATTTTATAAATGTATTTTGTTTGTGGTGGACCTTACTCCATCATCCTGTTTTTCTTTTTCTTTGTATATTGCTGTTTTATGTTTACCCAATTGATTTGTTATTGATGCATATGTCTGATGTAAACATTAATGTTGATTACGTTCAAAATCATTTGTTTTCCCTCTTCTGGTTGCATGTTCTTCTTCACAATCCATGGCTTGTTAGCATCACATGTGATATATTACTATTTTCATTATAAGTTTTTATTTCAACTATTTCGGTTTGGGTCATGAATCTTTTCCTGCTGACGTAACCTTTACGTAAGAGTTAAAAGTGTTGTTATGCACTTGTTCACTTTTGTTTTTATAAATTATATGTCCTCTATTTCTTTGTAGTTCTGCTCAACTATCTTGATATCTAATATTCATGCGGTAAAGTTTCTGGTATCAATAATATCTTCTTCATCAAACTGAGTATCATAAATGTCAAGATGAAATATTTGTGTTGCAGACAAATCTCAAGATGGATAGACTGAGCACAGATATTGGGTCATGGACCTCATGGCACCTATAATTACATTGCCAAAGTTTGACACAAGTGTACACTAATCATGTATGCGTAGGATTATAGGCTACACAGGTCATTATGAATGACAAATAGCATCTAATTCTGTAGCTTATTAGTCCCCACTTATGAAGGAAAACCCTGAGTTCTAATGAATATTGGATGTATAAACGAGTCTTGGTCTAAATTATATTATTGGGAAGGTATCTGAACTCTCTTTTAACATCTTGTTGCTATTTTTCCATCAGTCTTACACCCATGATTATATGCCACACAAAATGCAACTTAGGCTATCATTTTTCAAATGCAGTACCTTGCTTCTTCAATGATGGATTTTGATTTTCTCTGCACTGCAAAAGCTTATTATTCTTGATGCTGACAACAGTTCTGGCACATTCATAAGTGCATCTGAAGATTCAAGTGGTGTCTTGGGCCAGATAGAGGAGAAGATTGCTAGGGCCACAATGATTCCGAGAGAGCAGGGAGAGGTATTGCTCATATAGCTCAACGTTTCTTAATTGATTAACTAAGTTTAGCATTTTAGCTGATTTAATAAGTCCTATTTAAATTAAAACATATTCAGCTTGTCAAGTGACATGTTTGTCTCTATAGCTAGGCAAGGCTTTTATGGTAATTTGAAATTATATTATCAAGTTCATACTTCATATCAAGGGAAAAATAACTTAACAATGGCTAGAAGTTTAACATTCTGTGTCTGTGATTGCACTACAAGAAATAGAATAAACATCATTAAGCAATTGAGCTCATTGATTACTTGACCAAAATTATCTGGTAAATGATAATTTTATTGGTTAGTAATAAATAACATTATGCAACTTGAAAAACATGTTTTATATTTTAACATATATAGGTCTGTAATTATTTTTGGGTGCAATTAGTTACTTCACAACTTTGGGATGACATCAAGATATGGGTCATCATGTTGCAGGCCTTTAACATCTTGCGCTATGAGATAGGGCAGAGGTATGCTTCTCACTATGATGCATTCAACCCTGCTGAATATGGCCCTCAGAAAAGCCAAAGAGTATGTATCTCACTACTTTCCACAACAAACTATGCTGTGGTAGTCTATAATTTTAACAAGAATCTTATCAGCAATGCATAGTCACATATTTCCCTGTCTAAATTTTGCATTCTTAAACTTGAGTATTGATTCTGCAGATGTGAAAATATTGAGCAGTTTAATTAGTCGATTATCATTAATCAAAAACTGATCAGGCATAACGCATGTCAGATTATGTAGTAGGCTGGTGTTGACATCTCTATGGAGTTATTTTAAACTTAGAAGTTATTGATTTGTTTTGACCTAGAAGTTCCAGAAGTCCTTTGCTTATACTGAAGCATATCGACAATGGTGACTTAAGACTTGAATCTATGACCATTGGACACTATGGTATAAATGGTAGTGTCTTTCTGCTCATTTTATGTTTCATGAAAATTGACCTCATCATCACGATTAATACCAACAAAATTTGCAACATGAATGTTACTTTAGCCATGATAGCTGGGTCAATGAGTCTTCTACCTGGATCTAAAATTTTAGAAAGGTTAGATTAAGTTAGAATGATTGAACCGGAAGCTTGGGTTATTCATACTGTCCATGACAACTTCCAATGGTCTGTATTTGACTAGCTTTAATTTGCCACAGAATGTGTTAGCCAATTTTGATGGATGAACTCTAGATTTATCTTACATTCTCACTGCTGTGGTAGGATTCGGCCTTCTCGCTGGTGGCAGAAGAAAGGTATTATCTTGATATGTTTTCTGATCCAGTATGGGTTTTAGATATTGATGACCTAATTAATGGAGTCTGGACTGGCCAAATGCTGGTTCCCGGCTTTTTCAATTTTTGATAGCTTTGCCATTTATAGTTATAATGGATAATTAGGGCATGAAACTCAAAAGTTTGTTTTGGTTAGGTTGATGATCAAGAGATGTCAGTTGTTGATAAGCCGAAAGGTATAATACAAATTTGAGCACAGAACATGTATTCACAGAAGGAACTATTTTCCAGGTAGGTTGTTAATATGATAATGGAAAGACTTGAAATATGGATGAACAATTAGGTAAGATATAAGGTTATTGCTGTGCGCTAGGATTACTCTACTAGCAGCATGCCATATAACAGTGGTGGCTGTCACAGTACATGCTATTGGCACAGGCTGACATGCGATGCTCACACAGGTGTGTTAGTGGGAGAATTAAGAGGCAAGAAAAGGAAAGGAAATAGGTAAAGGGACTTATAGGAAAAAAAGGAAAACAAATTATTCCCAATTTCCCATGTTGGTTCCTTCGTTAGTTGTTACCTCATGCATCATGATCCTGTTGTCATCATTTGCATAGTTGGCTGTCTTGCTGCAAACAGTATCCGAGATCTCTTTCTTTTGATCACATAGAAGTAATGAGCCATAAGAACTCTGAACTAGCCTTATAAAATCCCAAATTGATCTCATTTTTCTGAAGTGATAGAGGAATTGTCAAATTATTTACAGATCAAACTTAAACCGAAAAGGTTCTAATATGCTGATCCCATTCTGCAACCTATGTTGTCAGAGGTTGATGATTGACCTTAACTGTGAGGGCAGTGATTTAAAAAGCGCTAGGCGCCAAAAGGTGCCAAGGTCCAAAAACGCCCGAGGCGCTAGGCGCTCGCCCGAGCGAAGCGAGGCACTAAAATATAAAAATATAAAATATAATTAATAAATATAATTATTTAAAATTTTAAATAAAAATATAAAAATATATACTATAATTAATAAATATAATCACATTAACAGTATAAACCTGTTGACGGAGAAACGAGGAAGCAGCGGCGAGCGGCGACAGCGACGAGCGGCAGCGGGAAAGGGAGCGGGAGCTGTGAGCAGCGGGAAGCGCGAGCAGCGAGCAGCGGCAACGGGAGCAGGAGCGACGAGCAGCGGGAGGCGCGAGCAGCGATAGCGGCGAGCAGTGGCAACGGGAGCAGGAGCGACGAGCAGCGGGAGGCGCGAGCGGCGACAGAGGCAGCGTTTGCGAGCATCGACAGCGGCGAGTGGCGACAACGGCAGTGTTTGCGAGCAGCGACAGCGGCGAGCAGCGAGATCGGGATCGGGAGCGGGAGCGGCAGCGGGTTAGGGTTGGGTAAGGGTTATATCGGTTTAGTTGGTTCGATTGAACCAACTAATAACCGAACCAAGACCGAACCAGACCTAAAATCCTGGTTCGATCGCCTTGGTTTACCCAGGCGCTCGCCCGAAGCGCCCAGCGCCTGGGCTCGGGCGAGCGCCCAGGCGGCGCCTGTTTGAAGCGCGCCGCCTGGGAGATTAGCGAGGCGCTCGGGCCTCGCCTCGCCTCGCCCGAGCGCCTTTTTCAATCACTGTGTGAGCGCAGTTATTAACCTTCATACTTTTGAGGCACAAGGTCCAAGAATGTCCAAATCTGACAGATGGTTGCTTAATGATACAAACACAAGTATGTCGACTGGACAAAGGAGAAATTTGCTTATGGTACCTGGGGATTTTAGGTTCTAAAAGGCTCAAGTCTGACAGGGCTAGTTCTGAAGCTTGTGTAAAATTATGACAATCCACGTTGCCCCAGTTCAATAAGCTTTAGAGGTTGAAGTATACTATTTCAAGAAGTCTGAAGTTTATTGAAGATTTGATGTGTGATTTAATAAACAACAATAGTTTAAGTCCTCTCTTCGATGGTATCGCCATTTATATTTAAACTTGTGATCTTGAAGGGAAGTTCCAAACTAGTAAGCAGGACACGGAATGGTGCAGATGAATACCTTTGAAATGGATGATTGTCTTCTAGATTCTATGTGCATGCAATTACAGAACTTTAACCAATGTAAATTTCATTAGATTAATTTGTAACATTCCTTTACATTGACTTTGTATTATTGGTGATACTGGATTATGTTATGCCTCATTTCTTACAAGAACAATATTAGTTTGAAATTCATGTTTTCTTTATGTTTGACTTCAAGTTTTTACCATCGGCAGCACTATTTTTCAGAATGTGTACTGACGCCTTGTAGAAGCATTAGTAACAAGAAATGTCAACAAGTGCTACTAGTAGTTTCAATTTTCTTTGTGTTTATTCCTTTCTTGTATTGCATTTCGTTAATTGGGATTATAGTATAAAAAATTCCACCTTCCTCATTCCTAAGGTTAATAACTTCTCAGGTAGCTTCATTTTTATTGTACTTGTCGGATGTTGAGGAAGGAGGGGAAACCATGTTTCCTTATGAGGTAAACAATTTGATGTGACTTGTACAACATTATTTTGTCTAGTGTTTTAGGTTATCTTTGTGTTTTACATTAAATTATTTCTTGTAACAACAAACAGAATGGATCCAATATGGACATTGCCTATGATTATGAGAAGTGCATTGGCTTGAAGGTGAAACCACGCAAAGGAGATGGGCTCTTATTTTATTCTCTGTTTACAAATGGGACAATTGACCCAGTAAGTTACAGAATCTCATTCTTTTATGATTATTGACTAATTTTTTATGCTATATGATAAAATTGTAGCATTTAGTGATAAAAATTGTAGGCCAACACATGCACAAGTCATTATTGCCGTTTTAAATATAAGAACCCCAATTTGAAAAAAAAATTATGGCCTTTAAAGACTGTGAGACATATCATTATCTTGTAATCACCTTTACTTTGATGAGCTCATGAAATATGCACCATATATTAATGAAGCTATATTCGACAAATGTGAATATATCATGCTCAAAGGTTTTATTTTACCCGAATAGCTTGCTAGCTTATGCACCGTAGGTTAGCATATGCCATATTCACTAACAGGTCAATCTTGCCTTGTATCACTCGAGCAACTTGTGTTTGATGGAACCTAGTGTAATCAAGAACTACAGCCAAGCAAACTTGAGAAGTATATCAGAAATGGACTTGGTTTTTGGTTTGCTAAATGTTGTTTTTCAATATATTATTTTCAAACGAACAGGTTTAATTTGTGCTTCTTGTATTCTTTAATTTTCTCTCCTTCTTAGTTTTCCCTCGGTTCATTTCTCTCGATGGCTTCATCAAATGTGTTTGTGGTAGGAAGTGCATTTATCTGTTTGCAATAGGCAGTTAAGCGTTGTCCTGTACTTCTAATTCTACATGGCATTAGAAGCAGCTCTGGTTTCTCCAGATAACGGGCCAAATTGTCATTTACTTCTGTATTTCATATATAAAGGTCTAAACAAACTACAGGAAAATAATATATGGGATGATGGTGTAATTGAGAGTTGAAACTCTAGATAAAGAATAACAAAAGGAACTGCTTTGCATGAGCATACACTGTTATGTTTATAATATTCGTGCAGTGTTATTTGATCAGTTAGGGACTTCTCCAGCATTCAAAGTTTATGTTTTGTTGTGTGTTGATAGGGAATCATCTCATGCTTGTCAATTTTGTGTGTTTTCCAATGAAACTTTATCAAACTTCGGCATTTATTATGTTTGCCAAGTGTTATTTGTGCCACTCTCAAGTATGATCTTTGCAGCTGGGTCTGCCCAATACTTGAAAATTGGCTATTCTAGTATGAAATATCAACAATACAACTTCTGGTGTGACATCATGATTTTTTCGTAAAGAAATTATATGTTAGGGATGTGGGCATATTTTAAGAAGACCTATAGCTATTGTGGATAGACGAGGTAGGATAATTAGTATGAGTGGCACGAGGAGATGCGGAGGGAGGCAATAAAAGGTTTTACTAGAAGCTATAGATAAAATATAAACATTTTGAATCAAAATAAGAATATTGCTTTCTACATAATTCAATGATGAAAGAAAATCTATGTAGCTAACCTTAGGTAGTGGAACATTATGACTTGAGATGCATGTTAGAGGTACAAGTCCAAAAAATCTAGTTTATTAAAAGTTTATTATGATGATGAGAATTTGACTTATATTTCTGTTTTTCTACTTTCCAGACATCACTCCATGGTAGCTGCCCCGTGATCAAGGGAGAGAAATGGGTAGCAACAAAGTGGATTAGAGATCAAACTGAGAAGTAATCTGCAGTGTAGATTTCTCAATATTTGTTCCTTGTGCATTTACCTGTTACTGTATAAAACAACGTGATGGGAAAAAGAAAAAAAGAAGACAATTTCACTTGGCCAACAATTAGGGAAAGGGGGAAAAAAAAAAAGAGGAAGAGTTTATCCTCTTGACAGAATCAAGAGGGAAAATTTTTTGGAGCCACTTGATCAGCTGATGAAAGATCCGTGAATTGTTGTTCAGACCAGCCGAGCAAAGCTATTATCGTCGGTAGATTGCTCAATACGCCTGTAGGGATTGAAAGGTTGATTGCCGTAACCTTGTTGCCATGTTACTGTAGTTTGTTTTTCCCATGGCAGATGAGTTAATTATTTAATACATATGTCGATTCCTAATCATATACATTTAGGCGATTGCATGTTGTATGGGAATTTCTTGAATGGTAGTACAGTTTTTTTTGTTGGTTGCTTAAATTTAGGACAGTAAATATTCTCGAGAGCTATATAGTTATATGAGTTTCTATCATACGATCAGCACATCGGCTCGAGGACACGTATAAACAAACCTTTGAAAGCATCATAGCCCAAGCATGATCTCTAATCGCGTATGACGCTCTGATATCCGGCGGCATTCCGTGATCTCCGCTATCTTGGTTTTACTCGTATCGTAATCCCCTTAGAGATGATGGGAACCACCGTTGGATGCCTTCTCTGGCGTCCACATATGAGTTGTGATGGCGACACGCTACCCGCAAGGACGCGCGCACGAAACGCGCTTCTGGACGCTTTTGGCGGCATCCAAAACGAGTCGCTCGTGTCGGTCCACGGCAAAATCTTCCAACCGCGCGCGGCAACATCGCCGACGAGTAGCGCCAAACGCGGCGTCTACGTGTGCGGACACTGCCACCGTGCATGTCCCCATCACTCGCCTTCTCTCGACCCTTCTCCAAAGCTGAAGCTGCCGCAGCCGCACCACCACATCCCATCATCTTGTGTTACAGAGAAGGAAAGAGGGATCGAGCAGCGTGTTTCAGACGTTTGATGATGGAGTGGTGGTGCTTCCCATGCGGCGAGTTCCGGTCGGCGTCGCCGCCCGTCTCGGCATCCGCAGGGCCGGTAAGACGATGAGCCTTTGGGCAAGTTTTTCTCCGCGGAGCTGGAATCGTGATGAGCTTACGACTCTTGGCTTTGCTTGTGTTCACAGGGCTGAGGAAGGAGGTGAGGACGTGCACGTCCTGCGGGAGATGCTGCGGAAGCCCGACCCCGAGATCGAACGGCAGTCGCCGGCATGCAGCGCGATCGAACGGCGGCATGCAGCATGTTTCATTACATTGTGACGTTTAAACATGTTCGATTGGCTTCGTAGATGATGTCAATGAGGTACTAAAACCAAAAAACTGACATCTTTTGGGTGCGTATTCGATGGCGTGATCGACCTGTACTCTTACCAAACAAAACAAGTACCACAACGGCGACGAACTCTTCTCAGATAACTACATACACATCTACCTTGATCAGCAGTTCGGATAACCACAAATTGACGTTCGATAAGATATCAGAGACTTGCCATCTACGTATACGAAAGGACGTGTCACTGATAAAGACTAGTCGATCAATCAATTTTCATGATACGATTAAGTGATCAGAAGATAACAAAGACACTACAGCTTAGAAAACATTGATTGATGTGCGCATGTGATGTTCGACCATCTTCATCACCACACGGGACTTTGAGAAGCCACGCGTCCTCATACGAAGAGATTTAGAATCGCCGGCTTCTCTGCTGCGGTCTGATCTCCACATCCTCCCTCGCTTGTCGTTGTCACCGAGCTCGCTGACGTTGCCGATGGCGTCGACGCCCGCCGCTTGTTGTCCCCGCCGCCATCTGGTGACTCTGGCATCGGGTACAGCTCGCGAGTGGGAGGTCTCTTGGCATCATAATCTCTCCTCCTCTTCCTCGGTGGTGGCGAGGAGGAGGACGACGAGGACGAGACCCCTCTCCTTTGATACTCGTACAGCTCCTTCGCATCGGCTGCGCCGGCCAGTTCCGGCAGCGGATGAATGGTTCCACCACCAAGCACTGTCGCCACCGCCGCCTGGCACAGGTGCCAGTTCCCGGTCCACAGAAGCCCCGTGGCGCCGGTCACGGGGTTGATGGTGCGGCCGCACGCCTCGTAAAGCAAGGATCGGAAGGCAGCTGCAGGAGAGGGACGCTTAGTTCCAGTCTTTTAGGACGATAAGAGAGTTCTATCAGGTAGACGTGAGCAGTACACACCGGGGCGACGGGGAAGAGGGACGGAGGAGAGGAAGGAAAGGAGGGTGGAGCGGCCGAAGAACTTGGCGACGAAGGCGGTGGCGTGAGCCTGCGCGCCGGCGCCGTCGATGCACTGGATACACGGCCGGAGGATGCAGGTGGCGCTGCAGCCCCTCCGCAGTACTCTGCAACCGTTGCAGCTCATCTTCTATCTATCGATCTCTCATCCGACAACGATCACAAAGACACTCTCCTCCCCTGCTCTGTATATAGCGAGCGAGAGAGACAGAGAGGATCCGCCCGAGGCCATGGGGTTGTGAGAGCGAGGCCAGCGGTGCGTGAGGTTTGTAGCGGGATCCGCCGTTCGATCGCGTTCATGAGCGGTGAGCGGTTGCTCGATCTGACGGTTGCAATTCCAAGAAACGGTGGGGGCGGCTTCGATGCATGGTTCGGATGCTGGAAAGGGGTGTTCCCAACGCAGCAGATGTTGGACTGGATCCCCATCGGATGTCGTGAGGGATTACGTAGGATGGATGGCGAAGAGAGATACATCCTCCGATCGTGTTTGCTTTATTTCCCTTAACACAACGGGATGAGAGCGAAACACATGCTCGACTGGCCCACCTAATGTATTACAAGAAACATAACAATATAATGTTATTTGTACGTATGATGTAATGTACATACATACATAAGTCATAAAAACTGCTTTGCTTACCGCCACACCCGTCTATAAATATAACTCATCCTTCCGGCCAGTGTCAGAGTTACATCATGTCGGGCCCGCAGCAATCTCCAATCGCAAGGCAGGTGAATGAAACGTGTAGAATGACAACAAAAATGACCCCGCAAGATCTGCGCCCCACTTCGCGGAGCGGACGAGTACCGGGTTTGGGGATCCGATCCATTAGGTGGACAGATCCGTCATCAGATGCACGGTCCGATTGCACCGGTATCGGATGATATTGGACGGTGGAAAAGACCCGATTCCAAGCCCCATTTAATAGGCCCGCTTCACGCGACAGTGGCCGCAACAACCCCCAACCGCTCCTCTCCCCCTCCCACTCCCCCTTCCCCCGCGTCCTTGCCGCCGCCGTCGCTCTCGTCGTAATGATGGCCTCCGAAGGCGGTGAGGACTACCGCCTGACGCGGATCGCGTCCGCCATACGCGTCATTCCCGACTTTCCCAAGCCCGGTAATTCACGGATCTTGGAAACCCTGGCACCTTAGTGGGCTTCTTGAAAACCCCGTGTTGGGGATCGGGGTTTTGGGGCGATCGGTTGCGGGTTTCGCTGTTCTTGATGGGTTTAGTGTGGGTGTAGGTATCATGTTTCAAGATATCACGACCCTGCTGCTCGATCCCAAGGCGTTCAGGGATACCATCGATATGATCGTGGAGAGGTACAGAGATCAAGATATTACGGTTATCGCAGGTAATCGTGTTCACAGCATTCTTATAAGTAAATCTTAATCTAGTTTTATTATGCCGATGAGGTTTGCTGTATACCTTCTGTTTCGTTTGTGATAAGGGCATGGAAGATGCATGAACATATGCTTCCTTCACTATTCTTCTTGTTTACATCCTAAAGATGTTCAAGATAAGAATGACATGGGGTAATCTACGAATTCGAACACTAGAAAGATGTCGCCTCATTTTCTTGATTATGAATGATGTGGATACTGGAGGAACCAACAAAAGTAGTTGGTGACAGAACTTTTGATTCGACAAGCTGTTCTTTTCTTTTCTTTGTTTTAGATAGAATTAAAGTCAGATCCCCTTTTTAGTTGAATTCTATTGTACAATATGTTCATTTACTTAATCATATATTTTTTTAATTGCTGATATTGTCAGTGTATAAATATGATCATGTCTTTTCTTGTTCATCTGTTACTGCACAACGCATAATTATATCCACTAAAATATACTTGCATTAAGATGTCGTTCCTCAGTTTGATTTCTATAGTTTGAACAGGTGTCGAAGCAAGAGGATTCATATTTGGCCCTCCCATTGCGTTAGCTATATAGGAGCAAAGTTTGTTCCTATGAGAAAGCCAAAGAAGCTTCCTGGTATGTTGTTCTCTTGCATCTTTTTCTTGTTAGAAGTGTGTTGCAAACAATAGCTAACCATTTATGCTGCTTTCTAGGGGAAGTTATTTCTGAGGAATACTCCCTAGAATATGGTACAGACAGAATGGAAATGCATGTAGGAGCTGTACAACCAGGGGATTGAGCCCTTGTCATTGATGATTTAATTGCAACTGGAGGGACATTATCTGCTGCAATCAGGCTCGTGGGTAATTTGCCATTGATTCATTCTTCAATCTGTTGGTTTTCCTGTCATAAGGTGCTTTTATATCCACTGTGTCATTGGTCACCGCTCTAATGTGCAATATGATCATCCTGGAGGGAATTAATTGACAATGATGGAAATGCATGTTGAGGAACAGTCACATGAGTGTTTTAACCGCCTATTATGGTTAAAGGTGTCTATCTATATTTTGCAGTTATCTACGATAAAAGTTTTTCTTCCGCACAACTTAATTTAGGGAAAATAAATTGATGATAATGGAGACACATACGAAGAACAATCACCTTGGGAATATAATAAACACACATGATGGCTAAAGATGTTTTGATGTATTTAGTAGATTTTACCACAAAAAATGATATTGTATTTAAATAAGTTTTGAGAAGTTCGTTTTGTAATGTTAGATGTCATCAATTTTTAACCAAATGTTTTAATTAATACACATGCTTTTTGGTCAAGCCTGCATGCTTGTGTGTTGCTTCTTATTTTTGAGGATTTAAGTCATATTTTCTTAGCATTCAAAAGTAAAGCTCCATTTGTTATTTAATATTTGAAAAAAATAACACCAACATTCTTTTTCATTGGACTGAGGTTCTTCCTCTAGTAATGCCATCCATGTTCCAGTTGTATGATGTTTTTTTAATGAAATTATTGCTTTAATCTGGCTTATCAACTGATATAGTGTTTCAAAGAATAATAATCTAGTTATCTGGAGGCAAGCATTAGTGCTAATGGTAGGTTACTTTACAGTTTCTTGGACGTTAGTTGTTCAAACTTCAAACCATGGAAACAACCTTTTTATCTGCTAAAGCTGGGTATTATTGATCATCTTGGGTTAGATCAGGTTCAGATGGGATAATGAATGTATACTGCATCCGTAAGTTGGACCAACCGTCTAATGGGTCAGGATTCGTTGAACTGGATCTGACCGATATGGGTTTTGAGTTGGATCGAGTAGGACAAAATGGGTTATGTCGGGTCGGTATTTTAAGGAATAATTTGCTTTATTTTATTTGCAAAAAGAAAAACAAAAGGATTCAATATTCCTTTTGATCAGCAGGAAACAAAAGAAAAACAAAAGGAAACACATATGCTCAGCAGGATCTATCAATGGGTTAGGATTTGTTGATCATGTTCCGATCCATATTCCTTGCAGGTCCCTCTCATATTATAACTTATTAGGTTGGCTTAATGAGTTCAGGTTTGAGATATCCACCTCTGTTGCTTCGCAGAGAGAGGTAAGGGTGCTAAAATATGGCCCTTCTGGATTCCCTTATTTAGAAAAGCTCTGTGCGTTGTGTTGCTCTATTTTGGTAATTCAGTGATCCTCTAGCAATTCTTGTATCTTTCATATTTTTTAGTTATTTTGAATATAAAGTTCTAATAACAAGCAAATTTATATCTATATTTGTCATGTATTGCACATCATGAAATCTTTTGATTTAGAAAAATAAAAAGTAGATCTGAAATCTTTGTTGGAGGGTTTTAGGAAATTTATAAGGTTGCTAGATGAACGACAAGTCAAAACATGGTTTACGGTTGGAATTCCCAGCTGTACGCTGAGACTGTACAATTTGTGTTTAAGTTGCCACTCTTATAGAAGACACTTTTTCATGGTCATGTGTAGTGAAATAGGTTATGTTATTTATACATTAATACAATTTTGTTATTTAAGTATTTTTGAAAGTTAGATAGGTTTCAGAAATCTTTAATATGAAGTGTTTTAAGCACAAAATTATTAGAACACACACGTCATATTCACGTGCAACCTTTGTAAATTATGCTGGCTGTCAAGTTGGAGTGATTTAAAAAATGGTCCTAGCAAAGCTTCATGCTCCTTGGCAACATGTAGCCTCCATTTGTTGGTTAAGCTGCAATTCCTGGCTTAGGGGATGGATTATCTTAACAGGGCAGATGAATGCAGACCCTCTCTGCTGTACGAGCAGATATTTGTTTTTGCAGTACATGTTGTTATTGCTTTATATATTGTGTCCACTTTTAAAATCATTGTGCATGATGATTATGATTAAACGGTCAGCCATTTGAAGTCTTTATTCGTTTAGGTTAACAGTACATGAGAAGCATGACTGACATTTAGATTATGATTTGCAGAGCGTGTTGGAGCTGAAGTGGTTGACTGTTGTGCTTTGTGTCATCGAATTGCCAGACCTAAAGGTTTGTCGTTCTCTCTGTCCAAAGCCTTTCTTACCAGTTTACCAGTTGATAAAAGATATAAGCATAATTTACACGTTCGCTGTTTAATTTCTTTATCTTTTGGGGAATAGTACTTTTTTTTTTATTTGTACTATTTTTATTTGATAAATGCAGAATGAAATTTATTTCTTTTGTTGCTGGAACAGGGACGTGAGAGGTTAGGCAGTTGTTAAAGCGGCATAGTTTGCTCGGCGAAGTGCATTATTTGTTTCATCCATTTACAAACAGTTGTAATGTGATGATAGCTTTTGTTGAACAAAATCAGGAGCTGCTCCCAATTACGGAAAAAAAAATATATTAAAACTCTGTAAAAATACAAATTACAAAGTGTGTTTTGCAACTCAGAGAAGTCCAGTATTTTTAATCTATTTCCAAACAATATTTTGGCTAAATTTGCGGCTAATAAAATAAAGGCGTCCAAACTGTGCTGTCGCACAAGTAATCTTTTTTAGACCAGTCTGGTAAAAATAATAATAATTTCGCGTTGTTCAGAAGAAATACAATTATCAGCACAGTTCTCTAAGGAATGTGAATCCCCGACATTCCGATCATTGCCTCGGACGATCATTGATTCAAATATGTTTCACTGTTGGAAAGAGTCAATTATTTAAAGCGTACACATAACTGATTCCATGTTAATTGACTCCAAATCCTAAACTTTCTTAGCCTATCCACTAATAAATAGCTGGGAAGATGAATCTCGTTGGAGCTTTCTTCGTGCATTCCAGATTTTAATTCCCAGCCATTGGCGAGGCTAGACCTGATAGAACAGGATCTGATATCAATATTCAGCAAGCGAAAACAAGAGATGATGATGATGTTTAATCTAAATACAACACCACGCGACATAATGGCATAACTTTGTCCGGATGTAGTTAAATTAATCCAAATGTCACAAAAGGAAAACAACTATCGTCCTTTCCGATAATATCACCAAAAGGAAATCCCTGCGCATCAGAGGATGATGATGATGATGACGATGATGATGATGTTCAAGAAACCAAAGGGGTCGCTGTGACCAAAAAACTTAAATCATTCCAATAAAGATCAAGAACTTGGATCGAGAAGAGAAGCAAGCAAGCATATATATTCATTACCCTAGAGATTCTTTGGAGCAAAGGAACAAGGAACAGAAAGAAAAATAATCAAGTGTGAGAATTTGACCAATTCTTGGAACAAAACAAATGAATAAATAATTTTTTTTTTCCTTTTTTTCCTTCAGAAACAATCAACCATCAGGGCACCCAAGTACGTTGCTCCCAAAAGAATAATGATAAGAATCACGTACGATTACCAAAATAAATAAACTCGCAGAATGAGACGCGAAATTCCCAAACAATACCTTCCATCATAGATCATCCGGATTCAAATATCAACCAGGTGAGAAACAGAAGAGCATACCTACTTTTATTTAGTCTATAGTCTAAAGATAACATACGACGCCACGCTCTTCTTTGGACAGCTTAACATTTCACACTAAGCTCTTCCCCCCCAATGCATAATATCATCGTCTAACGATCTATGCTGTTAAATTAGTCCAAATGTCTGTCACAAAGCGTATTCAAGAAGCAAATATCATCATCTTTCCGATTAAATCCTCAAGGACAGCCCTCTTTCTTTTACAAAAAGAAATGAAAAAACACAAAAGACCACTCCCTGCCTATCACAGGATTCTGTTCTAGGACCCTAAGGGGGATCGCTGTGACAGACAGACAGACAGACCTGGGGATTGATCACCAAAAAAGATAAACCCAAACAATGCGATAAAGATCACGGAATTCGAACAAGAAGCGAGCATACTCATTATTCTAAAGATTCTTGAAGAAAAGGAACAAGGAACCAAAAAAAGAACAGTTAATGCGATCAGCAAGCGATCTTGATTCAACCACGACTCCGAAAATTCTTTGAAAGCAGAACAAATAGCCAGAGTTACTCCCTCTTGCTTCCGGTCCTTGTGATCCGAGCAGGTAGTGCAACGCAGAAGCAGTTATCGAGGGCAGGAGGACCTTCACCGTCCCAAGAGATCATTCGACCTCATATGATACAGTCGAACGAACGACGAAGGAAACGGTACCAAGATCGATAAATAAATAAATAAAAACGACCCTAAACGAAGGAAGGAAGAAGAGAGGTCGAGGGGCATACCCTATCCGACGATGAGACTCTTGGGAGGTTGGTTGTGCCATCGGAGGAGGGATTGATTAGAAAGCTCAAACTATTCGACCTGGGAAGGCTCCTATGGAGGATGGGATCGAAAGATCCATGGAGGGTAGGGTTTATTCTTGTGGGGAAAGAGAAGAGAAAAGATGCAGAGGTAGACCGAGAGGGCTTTGGACAGGTCGGGCGGGAGCGGGGGCGGGGAGAGCTCTCCTTTTAACTCGACTTTGTCACGTGCGCACAGCCACCGACTCACAATGGCCACCGCCACTAGCTGCTGCGTGACTCACCCCTGAAAACTGTGAGGGTGACCACGTGCGTCGCTGGTCCCACGGTAGTCGTGCTCACATCACCCCGTAAAAATTTCTGTGATACCAGAACACTTGATGCAACTCATTGGAGCCTTCAAGAACTACTACTACTACTTCCCTGATCGAACAGCATCAGGAAAGTGCGAAAAATTAATTGATTTTTTAGAACACAAATTAGTTTGTTCCGATAGAAATATGGAGCCTATGGCTACAAAGATCCAGTTTGATGCGAAATAAGACGGGATTACCCATAGGTTGACGGACATGAGTTTAAGCTCTTTTACGGGCTAAGATAAAATTGCTCTCTCTGCTATTTTCCCGCCCATATTTTGTCGAAGAAATTACGCGATCGAATCGATCCAAAGGTCAGCAAGAAATGGGATCAAGGAGCGATCTTAATCTGAAATACTCCGAAGATTCTTGAAACTCGTAGGAACAAAGAACGGAAAGAAAAGCCCATCTTATTTTGAGTACTAGGAAGATTCTTGGAGACGAGAAAAAAAGACGAAGAACAGAAGGAAAAGCCGTGAAGGAACGGGATCAAGAAGCCATCTCGACAAAGATTCTTGGAGAAGAGGACAAATCGATGATACCTGAGCCAAAGGAATTAGTCGGACCTTCCGATCCGAGCAGGCGGCGAACACCGAGAGGTCGTCGCGGAAGCAGCAACGGGGCACCGATCCTCGGATGAAAACCGTCCCAGTAGAGCATTCGACCTCACGTCCTAGATAGAAAGAGCGGACGAACCCTAAACAGCGGGTTCGAGATCAAGATACGAAACCCTAAACAGAGGGAGGGGAAGCAGGGAGAGGGATCGAGGTGCATCACCTGTCGCAAGATGAGACGAGGAAGCAATACTGGAATCGGGGGAGGTGCCATCGGAGGAAAGATTGGGGTGGGTTTCGATGAGACGGATGGAGGAGCGAGAGAGCGGGAGAGAGGAGTCCAATCTCCATTTGTCCCACTTCTATCTTCCCTTTAGCATGCGGCCGACTTTGTCGTATTTGCATGCACCACCAGCGGGAACTCAAATCAAAGGCTAACTAACAACCATGTTGGGGGGTCCCACAAGTCATTTAAAAGCACCTTTTATCATCTGGTGAAATATAAACACATCCATGTTCATTTATTATCAAGAGTGTTAAGTTAAATCTGCATAGGCAATCTATCATATCCATGAAGTCTGCCACCAAATCAAATGCTTAGAAAAGAGGAAGCACCGCATGCAAATCATCCACTACAATCAGATAATATAGAACATAAAACAACATGTCCAATACCACCAATGTGTAGAACCTTACATGAGTCATCTTCCTCTTTCTGATAAAGAGTTTCGAACAAAATCTTTAACAATGTGCCACAACAAAGAAAAATCCAAGAATGGAAGTTGTCAAGGGGGCTTTACTTCCACTTGTAGATTCCCGTCATAGAAACCAAGAAACTGATGCTGTAGATCTTTCCATGTGGGGATCAAAAAGAAGCAACTTGGAAAAACAGCAAAAAGCAATTTAGGCATGTTTACCTGACCTCTGCTGCATGATCCTTAAATAGACCCTACTGGTAATAACTTGACGACTGCAGCAATGGGCATTCCTAAGAACCCAAGGAAAACAGTTACAAACCACTGTGACATTGTAAGTGGTATCGTGTTTGCAAAGTCCCCAAGAAATTGGATGATTATAAATTGAAAGACGATGGTGCTGATGAGAACGGCCAGAAAGACGTAGTTCTGCAAGATGCCCCGGAATACATTTATCTTCTCCATCTCTCTAGAGCTTATCTCATTGAACACCTGCATAAGGCAATTCATCAAGTATAAAACACATGCTCTGGATAGTACAGGAGCAACTTGCTACCTGCCTTTTTTTAAACTTGAAACAAACTACTGATTCTGAGACAACAAAGATGTTAAAAATTGTTCAATATGCTAGGTTTTAGAAAGATATTTTACAAGTGTAAAGTGTTATAACAGTGGCTATCGAGTAAAAGGAATAAGGCTGTAAGATGTACAAGAATGATTGGAATGATATGTGAATAATAATTTAAATCTTTCGTGGGTTGTATTTAAAATTAAGTAATCCTGTGTATAAACAAATAGTGTGCACGTTATCTGGAAGATCTAAGATCCAATAATTACAGTTGTGCTGTTCACAAATTTGCACCATTCTTCTCATTTATTGTGCAAATCAACAAGAAATCCTAGTTAAATGGCATTCTTACGTCAGTCTAAACCTGAGGCAAGTCACCGATGAATTATCCATTGATTTCATTTTTTTTTTTTAATGTAAAGGTTAGTTCTTTCTCAAAAAAGTTCACACATATATCTAGTAGTTTCTTCTAGTAGGAACAACACTAACGAATCCTGAAACAACATATGTTTCGAAAATAAAATTCTAGAATCTAGTGAATTACCTGACAGAAAACAAACGAATTGAATGTGATAGTGTTAAGGGTAAGATCGGTGTCAGGGCCATCAAGCTGAAATAACCGTTTTCCCTGTGTCTGGAGATACCATATTGTGATGAATTGGTATATTGATTGTCCCAGGATATTTCTCCACATTGTGTTGTTGATAAATTTCCCAGTCCTTCCAACTGGTGCTCTTTGCATCAAGTCATCACGTGGTGGTTCAGTGGCTAATGCTAATGCTCCTAAGGTGTCCATAATCATGTTCACCCAAAGTAGCTGAACAGCAGTAAGTGGAGCATTTCCTAGAGCAAAAGAAGGGCAAAGTAAGAGGAAATGATACTAAAAATTAAAAATAAAAAATAAAACTGGAAAAGTAAATTTGGCCCAGAAAGCAAGTTAAATATGCTTAACCTGACCAGCAGGCTGAGGAGAAATTAACAACTAGAGCGACCACATTAACCGTAAGCTGAAACTGTACAAACTTTTGAATGTTAATGTATATAGAACGTCCCCATTTTGCCACAGTCACAATTGTCGAGAAATTGTCATCTAGAATTATGACATCAGCACTTTCTTTAGCTACCTGCATGATGTAACATAGTAAGTGGAAAATATAACTTCGGGTGCCAAATGAACATGACATTAATCTGCTAGTCAGTTACAAAAATATTGATAGTTCAATGGGATCCATTTGATAATAGTTATATGAGTAAATATGTACAATTTCAGATAGACAAATTCCTTGATAATGTAGTCATTGGTGGTTTCTCTCTTAATGATCAGCACAGTGCCAAGAAAAACAAAATGCTACTTTAAAGTGTACAAATTTTGTATCTTATGCATAATCAAAATTCTATCTACATGCAAATGCTGAGAAAGATTTAGACAAAAATAATCGCCACATTTAGCATGTAAAGCTACATTTTGTAAGCTAGGCCGATGCAGCAAAATAATCGCCACACATTTGTTATTTTTCAAAGTGAGCTAACATGAAATTATGGCCAACATTTAGCAGCATCAGTGATGCAAACTAGTATAGTTTGACAAGCCTACGAGCCATGCAAAACAAACTGGGTACACAAGAGCCCAGTTTTTATATATAAAAACTGAGTATAAATTAGACTGTTAATCTCGTATAGGTAACTACCATCAAACTGGGTACACGAGCCCTGGAAGTCTTCCCACTTACTACTGTTAGATTATGAAACAATTACTTAACCTGCTGACTCATTGGGTGTGTCAGATTCAGTGAGGTGTTGATGAACACTATCGAGGTGGAACATTTCCAACATAAATTTACATCCTTAATCCACAAAACAAGGGCTTCAGTGCAAATAAAACATTGTGCACTAAAACACCCATGTTTGGAATAATGAATGTTCTTGAACTTTAAAAACTGATTACTTCCATATATCGACTGGAAATCTATACTTTGACAGGTAAGGTAATCACTGGTGGATAATACTTTTTTTTTGTTTCATAATGCTTTAAATAAATCAGGTTTCCAGAAAAACCATTTGAGAATTACCTCGGTTCCTGCAATGCCCATTGCAAGTCCAATATCTGCCTCGTGAAGTGCAGGAGCATCATTTGTGCCATCACCAGTCACAGCAACAACTTCATTGAACATGGTCCGCAAGTGTTTTACTAAGGTATGCTTATCTAATGGTGAAGATCTGGCCATTACCTAGCAAATAAAAAATGAACAAGTTGATGAGATCCAAGCTTTACTTAACTGTCAACAAGAGATATATCAAAAGTATCACGAGAGCAACCTGAATTTTTGGAATCAGTTCCATCAATTCTTCCAGATTCTTCTCACGGAACTCTGGACCTTCTATAGCTACACCCTCATCAGTGAGAATACCACATTCCCTAGCAATTGCTTTTGCTGTATTTATGTTGTCTCCTGTAACCATTCTCACAGTAATTCCTGCAGCCCTACAAGTTGCAACAGACTCCTTGACACCCGGACGGACAGGATCCTTGATTCCTACAATTCCAATACATGTATATCCTTCGAATGAAATTTTATCCTCAGCAGAGAAATTGTCGCCAATTTCCTTATATGCAAGGCACAGAGTCCGAAGAGCTTCACCAGCAAAACTATCAATTGTGCTCTTAAGAAGATTCAGAGCTGCTTCATCAAGAGGCACGACATTACCTGAGGGATCTACATAATTGTCGCAAGCGCCCAAAATTATCTCAGAAGCACCTTTACAGTGTGCACGGTATCCTCCTTCAGAAAGTTGGAGCACCACCCCCATTCTCTTCTTTATGGAATTAAAGGGCTCAACTTTAACAAGCTTAGTTTCCTGACGTTGTGCCTGAAAATCCCCACCCAGTGATAAACCCAGTTCCAACAAGGCAGTCTCTGTTGGTGTTCCCAAGATTTCAAGCTTTCCATCCTGGTTGGTCACCACCTCACCACCTGTGTTATTAAAAATGGATTGTAGAAGAGTTTTACGTGCAGAATCTGGGACATAGGAGCTTAAGTCATCAACTTTCTCACAACTATTTACTTCCATGACATTTCTGCAGATACAAGCTTTTACAACAGTCATATGATTGGTTGTCAGCGTTCCAGTTTTGTCACTACAAATTGTTGTCGCTGAGCCCATAGTTTCACAAGCTGCAAGGTGGCGGACTAGTGCCTTATCATTCATCATCTTCTTCATTGCAAAAGCAAGGCTCAACGTCACAGCTAAGGGAAGCCCTTCTGGAACTGCAACCACAACAATTGTGACTGCAATAGCAAAAAATTCCAACATCTCCAGTGCATCATCGCCTGACCAGCTCAATAGCAGGCCGTCATGATATTTCCGACTAACAAGGCTTTGAGCCAGCACTGCAAATGTTATTACTGCAAAAAACAAACCAATTTTTCCAATGATAGTTGCAACTCCATTCAGTTTGACCTGTAATGGAGTTTCATCATCTCCTCCTTCACTGAGTGTAGCAAGCAGCTTACCCCATTGTGTTCTCATGCCAACGGTCGTTACCAACATTTTACAATATCCATCCTGGACTTTAGTCCCAGACAGAAGAAAAGGGTATTCTGCATTTACACAAACAGGTTCACTCTCACCCGTCAGACTTGATTCATTGATCAATAAGGAATATCCAGATATAAAAAGCCCATCAGCAGGGACTTGATCCCCAATTGATAAATGCACGATATCACCAGGAACAAGATCATAAATAGAAATCTTCTGTCTGAAACCATCTCGTGTCACCTGTATAGAAATCTTCTTTTTCTCCTTATCCAAATCTTTGAATTGTAAAGACTGCCTGTAGTCGCTCGTTGCAGTGACAAACACAACTAACAGGATGCTTGCGACAATTCCAAGGCCATCATGGGCACCTTTTGGCCATCCTTCCATGGCAATGCCAACAACTAGAGATATGAAGGCACAAGCCGCGAGAATTATCAATGTAGTGTCTTGAAGTGCTTCCCATACAAATACCCAAAAACTCCGGACCTTGCTTTCGGTGAACTTATTTATACCATAAATCTCTTGCCTCCTCTTTAACCTATCCTCGGTGGTAGTCAGTCCATTAGTCGTAGATGTGGAAAGCTTATTTCCAATGCCGTCCACGCCACCATGCATTTTCAACTTCTTCACATCATGGCCTTCGACAATAGATCCCAACTCATCAGCACCAATCTGAAAACCTGCTGCCTTGACCACATCAGGTACGACATATTCACTATGCAATGTGATTCCTGAAATACATTTTGGAATTACAATTTTTTAACAGATGTGACATGTCAGTAAAATCAACAAACTTGCTAAAGAGACCCATACGGGCTAGAATGACAAGAAATTACAAAAGTACCCTGTATAAACTGTAGTGCAGCTTTTGAAACCAAAACAGCAATCCGCAATTTCTCCTGTCAAATGCAGCGAGTTAATTTGATGGCTGATGCAAGGTTGTCAGACAAGCTATATGAATGGAGTGTAGCAGAGTATTAAGATCTCTAAATCTATTAAGTATTACTAATGATGAAACGACATACATTTAATAAGATTCTCAAGAACAGATTGTGATTGCAAGCAGGTCAAGGATCACCATTAATCACATCTACTGGGAGACACCATCAAAGCAGTTTTTGAAACGAAAGGATGAGAACAAACGAAGTACCTCGGTGGCACTTGTCAAATGATCGAGGAACCAACTTTTGATCATTAAAATGAATTGATAAATTCAAGAAAAAGTTGTATCGAGTAATCCCTCCAAAAGATCAGAAAGAAAAGATAGAAGGGGTTAGAAGCATCCTTAGTAAATTTTACAGAAACCACAATTCACAACAAAATTTCTACTCAAAATAAATGCAAGTACAGTCGTCAAATCTGCAACAAAGCAAGGATGATCTACAAAAAATATCTGTGAGTTGTTTCTAGCTAAAGGATAGAGTGGCAATGTTTAGGAATCAAATCTGAGTACAGAGAGGTCCATAAGTACCACGAGCTATTGAACAGCATGAGGAAAGCATTGTCAAACTAAATGGCATACTTGGTGAGAATTTACCATGAAATTACTCAAACATGTACACACATAAGAAAGACTGGATAAGCCGGAGTTCACAGAGGCTTGAAATTTTAGATACATGTGAATTAAAGAATAGGTTAATGAGAAGAAAAGACTAGTTCCCAATATTCAAAGGAAATGTAAACAAATAAAATGACATAATTTTAAAAAATGGAAAACAAAAAATTGAAGCACCAGAGAAGCAAATTAACAATCTATGATTAGCCTATGATTTTGAATGTCCCTCCGATTTGTTTTTGTCCTTGAAGTTTCAGGTCATGTTTAGATGGCGGCATATGTCTCTCATCTGGATAACACGCATGCATGATATTAAGTCAACATGAAATTTAAAATTTTGACTATTAGAACTAATTATTTTCTCTGGTTAGTTCCATTATCACAAAGTTGCAATAAAATTGGCTCGATTACAGGATGTAAAATTTGTATTAAATCATCACTTTGCTGGCGGCATCACACAATCTGTCAGACCACGCAGATGTGGCACGTACTCATATCTCCTTTGTGATATAGATGTGAATGATGCAACAAGTAAATTAAAAGGAAAAAACGAACTCCTCGTTTCATCGCATTGTGATGCTGTGGGAGCATCGAGCTGGCAAATTTAGTGCGAGATCAAGAACCAGAAAGGATCCTCAAAACTTGAATCAGGACCAGTCAACATATATTGCATTTCTAACGTTCAGCTTGTATGATTCGAGCTGATGTGCCGATTATCCAGCTTCGCTTGTGGCAAAACCACGCATTCAAACTCAAATATAGTTCCTTTGATCTGATCAACAAAGAAATTTCTCATATCCTATTTCCTTGTTGCTTACGCTACTTAGCCTGGTTGACATCACAAGCCAAGTTTGACTTCATGAACCAAAATATATAATATGTCCCGGAACCCTAAACTCCACCCCTCAAGTAAAACCCTCGCAAAAAGAAGAGATCAAGAAACAGCAGGCCAGATCCAAAGAAGAAAAACGTCGAGTGAGGTGGGGAGGAAGAGGGACCTGGTTGGTTTTCTTCATGGCCTCGGCCTCGGAGCGCTTGGAGAGGTTGGCGGTGAAGCGGAAGCGGCGCTTGGGGTTCTTGACGACGCTGCAGAGCTTCCGCCATCGCCGGAGCGCGTCCTCCGACGAGTTCTTCGACTTGACGCCCCCAAAATTGTCGTTGAGGTAGCTCTCCATGTCAACAAACCAAACCTAACCTAGAACAAGAACAAACGGATGAGCCGACTCGACTCCTCCACAACCACCACCCGCCTCAATGCTTCCTAGATATGCAGAGATGAGATCTGAGGACGGAGGAAGGAGGATTATTCTATCCGCCCCGTAAATTATGGGGAACTGGGATGAACATGGGCGGGATGGGGTGGATTGGGGGCGGAATGGGGGGACGGGAGGAAACGGAGAGTGCAGTCAACGTTATGAAGAGTGGAGCAGAGCAGGTAAAACTTTTCCTCCCCCTTTTTTCCGTCACTGCTCATTGGGGGAGGTCGGTGACGGAGGCCTTTCTTTAATGCGAATGAGATGCTGGCATATTACTTTTTTGCTTTCATTTTCCCCCGTCTTCTTTATAGGGTTAGACGCCCACGGCCGGTACCCGATTCTTCGGTTTGCGTCCGACGGCCCCCGTCGCCGTCGTCGTCGTCTTTGTCGTCGTGTCGTTTTGTCGGTGTCTAATCGATCGGTAAATCTTAGAAAATTGGCATAAAAGTCCATCATCACATATCATATAATGCTCATGACATGAATCACGCATTAAACTACATTGCCAACCGATAGCTCTGCTTTCCACGACCATTCGTCATGCTCCAGCACTACGTGTACAAGGAAGGAAGGAAGGTAAAGAGGGACAAGCTATGAGGGACTGTTCGAACGAGATGCGTTCCAACTGGTGGCAGTGAATGGTCCGTTGGGTCGATTGAAATCGCCATGGAACTTTGACCTATTTGCTTGGAAGTCCTTGGAAGAAGTCGGTTTGGGGTGGTCAACAGTGGCTCACACGCAAAAGGTCACCTCTCTCCTCTTTCGAGTCATTTCTGAGAAAGCAAAAGACGTGGCAACCAAAAAGTTCGTGTCCCAATTGCTGCTGCTTCAATCTTCAAAGGAAATTATATTTATATATATTATATATATAATTATATAATTTCGGTGCGGTTGATTGTTAGGTCTGAATACTTGGGACGGGCAGTGTGGTGTGTGGGCGCCGCATCTACGGGCATCGACCACTTGCCCGGCCAACTGCAAGCAACCCTCTCGCTCCGCTAAGCTCGCTTTATACCAAAACCGCCGCCGAAGGAAAGTGTGCTCGCTTCCTCCTCTACGCTCCCGATTCCTTGTGCGGCGTTCCTTCTTCTGGATGCCATTAGGAGAGGCGAAGTGAGCGAGCTCCCCGCATCCGAAACCTTAAGCGAGCGGATTAAGAAGAGGAGGGAGTAGAAGAAGCCAAGGGAGCGGACCCGTCTGATGGCGAGAGGTGCCGAAGCCGGCGAGACTTCGCGGCCGCCGCCCAACATCCAGGCCCTACGGGTGCGGGCGAGGCCGGACCCCTTGCTGATCGTCTGCCGCTGCTTCAGCTTCGTCACCGCCGTCGCCGCCGTCGCCTGTGTCTTCGTGAACGCCCTCTTCGCCGTCCGATCCTTCAGAAACGGATCTGATGTACTCCCCCTCGAACCCTGGCTCGCACTTCCTTCTCTAACATCATCCCTCTCTCTCTCTCATCTCTGATTCTCCCGCTCTGAGCTCCTTCGGATAGATCTTTGGCGGAATATTTCGATGCTACGCGGTTGCCATCTCCCTCTTCGTGGCTGTCGCTGAGACCGAATGGGGTTTCATCATCAAAATCTGGAGGGTGTGTTTTGATATTCGTTTTTGCTTTCATTTTGAATTCGATTGTTGATTCTTTGTCCAGTTAGGTTTTACAACGCGTATCTCCTTTTGATGACGAACAGATATTGGAGTACTGGGCATGCAGGGGCATGCTGCAGATTTTGTATGTTCTTATACCGTTTATATATTTACCTTTAGTGTTTGAAGCATCAATGGCAAAGTTAACTTCTTTGATGCTGTAATTAGTGGTTTTGAAATGGGGATTTTCTTCCATTCTAGTGTTGCTGTCATGACAAGAGCTTTCCCGGTTGTCAGTGGAGAACCGAGGTACCTGGTGCTTCTTCAGGAGATCTCCAGCTACTTGCTTCTTGCTTGTGGCTTAACCTATGTGATCTCGGTTGGTCTGCACTCGCATAATTCTTGTCCTTTTTTTCCTTACATGATCATTGTACCTTCATCGAACAATCCCAATATTTGAGTGGCACTCGGATGTGTTGCATGCTGTATGGCCATGTCAAATCCATTAGTTGGCATATTTTTGGATCGGTTCATATATCTTATTTTTGATATTCCACAAAATGATATGGGGGCACAAACATTCAAATAATTCTTGGCCTTGTTTTCCTTACATGAATCAT